GTCAGTTTCAGTGGCAGCAGCTGAATCTGGAGCCAGTTCCGACTTACATACAAATTCAACTTAAGAACAAACCTACAGTCCCTATCTTGTACGTAACCCGGGGACTGCCTGTATAAGGACAGTGCTCCTGGTAAGAAGTCCAACCCATCACTAAGGATGTTAAGAGGTGAGTAATCGTGTAGTCGATAAAAATTCTATCAATTACATGATTATTTGATAAGGGAAGGCACGCAGTCCTGACTCATGCTGGATCTGAAACCTACCCCTACTGTGCCTTTGCTGTTTAAATGTTGGAGCTGGGCTGCCTGCTCTTCTTTTGTTCTGTTAACTGATATAGAGAGCAATATTACTAAGAACATAAGAATGGCCGTACTGGGTCAGACCAAAGGTCTATCTAGCCCAGTAGCCTGTCTGCCGACAGTGGCCAGCACCAGGTGCCCCAGAGACGGTGGACACCACAAACATGCCACTTTTATAAGTGGCTGCATGCGATCCTAGATGAGGGATCAGCTTCCCTAGCCAGTACATGGATTTCTCCCAAGAAATTTAGGCAGCCTCAGGTAGCAGCACGTAGAACAGCATGGTGAAGGAGGAGGAGGGAAATGGTCAGCAGGTGAACAGGGCAACTGAGGTCACTGAGAGCTTTTTATAGCCTTGAAGACAATTCTCTCCTCCTAGGATGTCTCACAGTCAGGTACTGATCCCGGGGCAGGCACGCCCAGACCGCCCCCTTTCCACTCCTGCCCGCTTACTCCTGTGTTAAGGAAAAGTTGCACTCTTGGCAAATGGGAAGTACTAAAAATACGGGTGCCATATGACCCCCCGCCCTGCTCTGCTGCCATGCCCAGACCCTCTCCCCCCTCCCACTCCTGCAGGGAGGGAAAGTTGCACTCTCCTGGCAAAGAGGGGGGTTGCCAAACAGACTGGCACCATGTAAGTCCCTACCCTGCTCTGACGCCATGCCCACACTCCCTCTGACTTCTCACTTGAAAGCTCATGGCTTGGCCTGTCCCTTACTATGCCTGCCACCAGAGTCCAACCCTTTCCCTAAGAACTCAGGTTTATCTATTGCCTAGTGGCTGCTTAAAAGCATATGGCCTTGTACATAACACATCCCTATTGTCTTTAAACAGACCTTCATTTTATACTAACAGATTAGGTTGTAAAATCTGCTCTTCACTTATCCACATTAAATTTCATTTGCCATTTTGTTGCCCAGTCACTCAGTTTGGTGAGATCTTCTTGGAGTCCCTCACAGTCTGCTTCTGTCTTGACTATCCTAAACAGTTTGGTGTCATCTGCAAACTTTACCACCTCACTGCTTACCCCTTTCTCCAGATCATTTATGAATAAGTTGAAAAGGATTGGTCCCAGGACTGACCCTTGGGGGACACCACTAGTTATCCCTCTCCATTCTGAAAATTTACCATTTATTCCTACTCTTTGTTTCCGGTTTTTTTTATCCAGTTCTCAGTCTAAGAAAGGACCTTCCCTCTTATCCCATGGCAATGTAATTTACACAAGAGCCTTTGGTGAGGGTCCTTGTCAAAGGCTTTCTGAAAATCTAAGTATACTATATCTACTGGATCCTCCTTGTCTGCATGTTTGTTAACACCTTCAAAGAACTCTAATAGATTAGTAAGACATGATTTCCCTTTACAGAAACCATGTTGACTTTTGTCCAACAAATTATGTTCTTCTACGTGCCTCACAATTTTATTCTTTACTATTGTTTCGACTAATTTCCCCGGTACTGAAGTTAGACTTACCGGCCTGTAATTGCCAGGATTGTCTCTAGAGCCCTCTTTAAATATTGGTGTCACGTTGGCTACCTTCCAGTCATTAGGTACGGAAGCCGATTTAAAGGATAGGTTACAAACAACAGATAATAGTTCAGCAATTTCCTATTTGAGTTTTTTTAGAACCCTTGGATGAATGCCATCCGGTCCCGGAGATTTGTTAACATTAAGTTTTTCTATTTGTTCCAAAACCTCCTCTAATGACACTTCAATCCGGGACAGTTCCTCAGATTCATCACCCACAAAGGACGGTGCAGATTTGGGACTCTCCCCAACGTCCTCAGCCGTGAAGATTGAAGCAAAGCAATCATTTAGTTTCTCCGCAATGGCTTTATTGTCTTGAGTGCTTCTTTTCTATCTCGATCGTTTAGGGAACCCACAGGTTTTTTAGCAGGCTTCCTGCTTCTAATGTACTTAAAAAACATTTTGTTATTTCTTTTTGAGGTTTTTGGCTAGCTGTTCCTCAAACTCTTTTTTTGCTTTTCTTATTATATTTTTACACTTGATTTGACAGTGTTTATGTTCCTTTCTATTTATCTCACTAGGATTGGACTTCTACTTCTTAAAAGATGCCTTTTTGTCCTTCACTGCTTCTTTTATATGGTGGTTAAGCCACGGTGACTCTTTTTTAGGTCTCTTGCTATGTTTTTTAATTTGGGGTATACGTTTAAGTTGGGCTTCTATTATGGTGTCTTTAAAAAGTTTCCATGCAGCTTGCAGGGATTTGGCTCTATTCATTGTGCCTTTTAATTTCTATTTAACTAACTTCCTCATTTTTGTGTAATTCCCCTTTTTGAAATTAAATGCCAGAGTGCTGGACTGCTGAGGTGTTCTTCCCACCATAAGAATGTTAAATGTTATATTATGGTCACTATTCCCAAGTGGTCCTGTAACGGTTATCTCCTGGACCTGATCCTGCACTCCACTCAGGACTAAATTGAGAATTAATTACTGTTGAATTAATTTTATGATTTCAATATTTAACAAGGAAATGGATGAATGATTCTGATATTTATATTAATCTAGCATTGTTTGGCCCATTAGAACAGGGGGCTGAGGGTGTGCCAGGTTGAGGAGCCAGAGGAGGGAGTGGAGGCTCAGGGCAGGGGTTAGGGTGCAGGAGAGAGGGCAGGGAGTTGGGAGATGTGGAGGTAAGTGGCGGATACTCCCCAAACCTGGCCTGGAACAGCTGGGGCAATGCTACCCAGCCTCCAGTGTTGCTCCCCAACTCAGGAGTGTGGAGGTCACACTGCCCGACTGGTGATTATTGCGCGGCTCTCTGGAATTGTCACGGGCCTGCTTGCTTGCCCCCCGTGGTCATTCTGGAGTATAACTGACCCTGCTACCAGACCCTTCCCTTTCTATCTGATGAGAAACAATCACATTCCATGCACATCCAATTGTCCTGGCACAACCAAACACTGACGTTGATTTAAATTATAAGAGGAAGGTAGTCCAAATTTGGTAGTCCTAGCCCTTACCGTTTAGGAGGAGTTCTTGAACAAACGGACTCACGGATGGATGGACACATAGGGTATGTCAACACTACCACCCTAGTTCGAACTAGGGTGGTAATGTAGGCATACCGCACTTGCAAATGAAGCCCGGGATTTGAATTTCCCGGGCTTCATTTGCATAAGCCGGCCGGCGCCATTTTTAAATGCCGGCTTGTTCGAACCCCGTGCCGCGCGGCTACACGCGGCACGGACTAGCGGGGTAATGTAGGCATACCGCACTTGAAAATGAAGCCCGGGATTTGAATTTCCCAGACTTCATTTGCATAAACTGGGCGCCGCCATTTTTAAATCCCTGCTTGTTCAAACCCCGTGCTGCGCGGCTACACGCGGCACAAACTAGGTAGTTCGGACTAGAAAGCCTAGTCCGAACTACCTAGTTCGTGCCGCGTGTAGCCGCGAGGCACGGGGTTCGAACGAGCAGGGATTTAAAAATGGCGGCGCCCAGTTTATGCAAATGAAGCCCGGGAAATTCAAATCCCGGGCTTCATTTGCAAGTGCGGTATGCCTACATTACCCCGCTAGTTCGAACTAGCGGGGTAGTGTAGACATACCCATAGAGACACCCACAGACTCTCTCAAATATATAGTAGATTTAACTTGAAAAGTGAGATGCTTCACTTGTTAACCTATAGTTAACCTAAACCCAAACATTTCCTTGCATAACTTAAAAACTGTATTTTGTTTTAATTTCTCATTTAGATTTCATCGATTTCTTGATGTAAGCAGTCACAAAGTAGAGAGAACAATAGAGGGGTAAGATTGTCTTATTTTTAATGTATTGATTAATAATGTTCGTTTGAAACATTCATTGATACAAATTATTTATTTTTGAATCAGAATTTATGAAAAGCTGATTATTCATTCAGACCTCAGTAAAGCTGCAAGCTGGAGAAGACTGATAGAAACATTTCTGAACTCGCCACTTCCCAGCACAGAAGAATCCAAGGTGTATAGCTTTTTTTCTACTTTATTCTAATTTTCTTGTATTTATTCTGATGCTGCTCACTTTATAACAATTTTTTACCAGAAAGTACAAATGAGTTACATTACTATTAAGCTACATGATTGCCACTCTGAGCTATTTTTTTAAAATTATAACCTATACTCTTCCTGTTATTAAAATGTGTATTTACTAGAAGATTTACCTGGTGTTGCTCAGGTCCTTCAGGGCAGGGTGCTGCAGGGCTTAGGGCAGGGTTTGGGGGATGTAGGGGACTCAGGACAGAGGAGTAAGGAGGTGCAGGAGTCAGGGTTGGGCGGAGGAGGAGGGGGCTCAAGGCAGGTAGAGGTTCAGCAATTCTCGGGAGCTCTGCTGGCTGGGCACCATCTCCCTGGGGCTGGCCATGACAGGGGTGTGCTGGCCGGGCAGCGGGCGGGAAGCTTACCTCCACCGCTGTCTGCTGTTGCCCCAATGGGGTTATAGATGTCCCAGTCCCCATGCTACCCCCTGTGGTCATTACACAGTGTAACAGTCTGTGATAGCAGCCCCTTCTCCATGTTATGAAATACAATCAACATTCCAGGCATCCATCACCAAGGTGTCTGGGTGTACATTTCATGGCTTAAATTATATCATTGCAGATAAAAGACATAGAGCTCCACATTCTGTGTTATGTGAACATTTTTGATAGTATAGATGGGAATCCAACCAGTCTACATCAAATTGGATTTCCTAGTTTTCAGTTGGAAAAACTTGTCAAAATTGTGTTCTGAATTTTTTTTCTAATTTTGGCCAAGTTTTTTAATAAGTATATTTGTGGATCATGAAAACTTAAAAGAGTTGCAGCGTTGCAGCTAAGAATGTCCTCCCTCAATCCCTATGAGTTTGTTGTGTTGAATTCCGGATCAGTTTAGGGCATCTAATGGATTAAAACTATGTGTTTTCACTTGAACCACGTCCAGTGTGGTTGTTTTGAACCTGTTCTAGTTGACCTTTGAAGACTGAAACCTGATGCTTTTGTAAAATGTACATCCCTGTGCTGGTTAGAGGCACTCTGTATAATGTCATAATGTTTAGTAGAGTTGTGTGCTTTGTTCCCAATGTGTGTGCTTAGAACAGGGGTGGGCAATAATTTTTGCAGGTGGGCCACTTCATGAATTTTGGTATGTGGTCACAGGCTGGTTCTAGGCCCCTTGGAAAGGGTGGGGCCTCAGGCAGAAGAGTTGGGGCTGGAGCTGCGCTGGCCATAAGTATGCACGCTGTGCTAATCAGGTGGGTGGGTTGGGGAGAGATGTTTGCTGGGCCAAATCCGCCCTCCCCCATCTCCCTCCGGCCAGATTTTGCTCACTCCTGGCTTAGAACCCTAATTTCATTTCTAATTTAACTGATCTGTGACCTGTCTTTGGACTGGTTTAGACTTCTCTGTTTTGGAAAAAGGAACAACTGTACAGTAGCAGTGCAATTATAATCTAATTGCTAACCACTCCTCCTTAGAGATTTTTAACATACATGTAACTTTAGCTATGTTAAAGCGACGAGGAGTCCTGTGGCACCTTATAGACTAACTGAAGTGTAGGAGCATAAGCTTTCGTGGGCAAAGACCCACTTCGTCAGATACATGTAGTGGAAATTTCCAGAGGCAGGAATAAATATGCAGGCCAGGATCAGGCTGGAGATGACGAGGTGGATCCAATCAAGGAGGATGAGGCCCACTTCTAGCAGCTGATCTGGAGCTGATCTGGAGGTGTGAATTCCAAGAGAGCAGAAGCTGCTTTTGTAGTTGGCGAGCCATTCACAGTCTTTGTTTAATCCAGAGTTGATTGTGTCAAACTTAAAGATGAACTGTAGCTCAGCAGTTTCTCTTTGAAGTCTGGTCCTGAAGTTTTTTTGCTGCAGGATGGCTACTTTTAGATCTGCAATTGTGTGTCCAGGAAGATTGAAGTGTTCCCCTACAGGTTTTTGTATGTTGCCATTCCTAATATCAGATTTGTGTCCATTGATTCTTTTACGTAGGGACTGTCCAGTTTGGCCGATGTATATAGCAGTGGGGCATTGTTGGCACATGATGGCATATATTACGTTGGTGGATGTGCAGGAGAATGTACCAGTGACAGTATGGCTGATCTGGTTAGGTCCTGTGATGGTGTTGCTGGTGTATATATGTGGGCAGAGTTGGCACCGAGGTTTGTTGCAAGGATTGGTTCCTGAGTTCGAGTTATTATGGTGCGGTGTGTAGTTGCTGGTGAGAATATGCTTCAGGTTGGCGGGTTGTCTGTGGGCAAGGACCGGCCTACCTCCCAAGGCCTGTGAGAGCGAGGGATCATTGTCCAGGATGGGCTGAAGATCACTAATGATGCGTTGGAGAGGTTTTAGCTGGGGACTGTAGGTGATGGCCAGTGGTGTTCTGTTGGTTTCTTTCTTGGGCTTGTCCCGTAGCAGGAGGCTTCTGGGTACACGTCTGGCTCTGTCAATCTGTCTCCTCACTTCCTCGTGTGGGTATCGCAGTTTACAGAATGCTTGTTGAAGGTCTTGTAGGTGTAGGTCTCTGTCTGAGGGGTTGGAGCATATGCGGTTGTACCTCAGTGCTTGGCTGTAAACAATGGATCGTGTGGTGTGTCCGGGATGGAAACTGGAGGCATGCAGGTAAGTATAGCGGTCGGTAGGTTTTCTGTATAGGGTGGTATTGATATGACCGTCACTTATTTGTATCGTGGTGTCCAGGAAATGGACCTCCCGTGTAGATTGGTCCATGCTGAGGTTGATGGTGGGGTGGAAGCTGTTGAAATCATGGTGAAATTCTTCCAGAGTCTCCTTCCCATGGGTCCAGATGATGAAGATGTCATCGATGTAGCGTAGGTAGAGAAGGGGTGTAAGTGGACGAGAGCTGAGGAAGCGTTGTTCCAGGTCAGCCATAAAAATGTTGGCGTATTGTGGGGCCATGCGGGTGCCCATAGCAGTGCCACTGGTCTGGAGGTATATGTTGTCACCAAATCTGAAATAGTTGTGTGTGAGGATAAATTCACAGAGTTCAGCCACCAGTTGTGCTGTGGCATCATCAGGAATACTGTTCCTGACAGCTTGTACTCCATCTGCATGTGGGATGTTTGTGTAGAGAGCCTCTACATCCATGGTGGCTAGGATGGTGTTTTCTGGAAGATCACCTATGCATTGTAGTTTTCTCAGGAAATCCGTAGTGTCACGAAGGTAACTGGGAGTGCTGGTGGCGTAGGGTCTGAGCAGAGAGTCCACATAGCCAGACAGTCCTTCAGTAAGAGTGCCAATGCCCGAGATGATGGGGCGTCCGGGATTTCCAGGTTTGTGGATCTTGGGTAATAGATAGAACAACCCTGGTCGGGGCTCTAAAGGTGTGTCGATTTGTTCCTGTGTTTGTTTGGGGAGTGTCCTGAGCAGATGGTGCAGTTTCTTAGTATATTCCTTAGTGGGATCTGAGGAAAGTGGCCTGTAGAATTTGGTATTGGAGAGTTGTCTGGCAGCCTCCTTTAGGTAGTCAGGCCTGTTCATGATGACAACAGCACCTCCTTTGTCAGCCTCTTTGATTATAATGTCAGAGTTGTTCCGGAGGCTGTGGATGGCATTGCGTTCTGCACGACTGAGGTTACCGGTTCCTGAGTTAGAGTTATTATGGTGCGGTGTGTAGTTGCTGGTGAGAATATGCTTCAGGTTGGCGGGTTGTCTGTGGGCAAGGACCGGCCTACCTCCCAAGGCCTGTGAAAGCGAGGGATCATTGTCCAGGATGGGTTGAAGATCACTAATGATGCTATGTTGTTCGTGATTAAATTGAGCCAGTCTACATGCTCAGAAATGTCAAGTTGTATTTAGCCCTCAGCAGAGTTGTGTAAGGTAACTGGGATGATCTTAAGCTTTTGTTCTTGTAGTAACTTGGGTGTCTTGCTGTCTGGCTTCATGGAACTTATTCATATCAAAGATAATTCTGTAAGTAAAGTTCTTTGGTAGATTCTTGTAAGGAGAATGGTGCTAGCATTTTAGTTGAGGTGCTAAAATTTGACACATTTTGCATAATCTGTTTGTACTCGAAAACATTAATTAGTATATATGTTATTGAGAGGATCTGTGAGCGCTCATACTACAAACTCTGGCATACAGTGTTTTAGTCTGTTCATTTCCTAAAGTCTTAAATCAATGTATTGACTTTTTTTCTTGTGTTTTGTTAAAGACAGATTCTCATTATGCCATACTATCTCTTCTGCTGTGCTTGTCTGATTCTCCTTCCAACACCAACTATGTGGAAAAGCCACGAGATAAAGAAGTGGGTAGGTAATATGATCTTTATATTTTAAATGAAAAACACATGGACAAGAAACAATCTGATAGACTACAAGTGGGGAAAAGGGTCCTAACATGCTATTATAAATCATTTCAAGATTCTCCACTGGTTATCTTTTTGTGGATTTTTATTTTGTATCTAATTAACCTACACATCTAAGACATTGGCAGTTAGAAGGGTTGAGGGTGGGAGGAAAAGTTAATGTTTTTTCTCATCTGGGATGCTTCTTCACATCCACCCCTGAGGGTCTGTCTCTGCTATGGGGTGGATTCTGCAGCGATTAACCCCTTTGCAGATTGATTTGGCAGGTGTAGTAAATAGACCACCACTCTCCCATCAACTCCGGTATTCCAGAACAAGATGAGTAAGGAGAGTCGATGGGAGAGTTTCTTTTGTCAATCTAACACTGTGTGGACTCTATAGTAAGTAGGTCTAATGTACATTGATTTGAGTTAAGCTACTAACATGACTCAAATTCTGTAGTTAAATTGATTTGTCCCAGGAGTGTAGACCTTCCCTGAAGGTTATTTGGTGTTTAAATGAGCCTGTGATCTTTGTGGGAACATGTGTTAAAATGATTGTCACAATAGATACCCTCTCAGTAAAGGGGCCAGTGCGTGAAATACTCTGTCAATGATGGAACCTCCATGTGAGGTTTGATGCATATTGGTGGGCAGACTGCATTAACTGCTGTGGTATTAAATAAAAGACTTCATTTTCTAACACTGTGTGTCCTGACTGTTTGATTATACAGGACTGAGCCAAAACCAAAATCTATCTGAAACTATTAACTTTGCATGTAATTTCACATGAAATAATTTATGCAGTAACTTGACATAATGCAGTTTAGTTATTTCTGTAATCTTTTCATTTTAAACTAAAAATACCGCTTTTCTCATCTAGCTAATTTTAACTTGGTAACATTAGTTTTCCACCTAATCTTACCAGGAATTAATTTTACTTAGTTTCCTGGTTTTGTAGTAGTATAGGTTGAACCTCTCTAAACTGAGACTCTCTGGTCTGGCTGGACCTTGGATGCTGCCAGACCAGAGAGGTCCCAGTGGAGGGCTGATGACTAAGAGCTCTGTGGGCTGATAGAGCAGTGAGCTGCCTGGCAGGGTCTGGTGAGGCTGGCAGCAGGATACAAGCAACGGCCAGGCAAGGACTGGTTGCAGGGTGGCCAGAAATGACCTCCCGGGTCCAGCAAAATCCCTCATCCAGGACTGGTCAGGTCCCGAGAGTGCCAGACCAGGGAGATCCAACCTGTATTATATAATTTCCCATGTTTCTGATTACAAAAAAAATTGGTAAATTGACAATCTCCAATGGATCAAGAATAAAAAGATGAGAAGACTGGAACACATGGGATATATTTTGGGATGCCACACACCCTTGTGGTACTCATTTGCAGGGCTGAAAAAGAGCCATTAAAGCACTGAAACAACATTTTAGTCAAGAAATTAGAGGGGGAGGGCAAGCCTCTGCACACCCTCCCGCTTGGAATATAGTGGTGATGCAGCTTGAACTGCATTGTCAGCACATCTCGAGTGAATGTGCAAAGGTATCTCAGAAAATTCCATTTGCAGGATTAAATTCCTATTGGATTAAAGTATATTATTTTATGTGGTTTGTGATTATGTTGTTCAAAATATTTATCACACTGTATTTGTACATATTCTCTTATATAGAAGGGAATACTAGGCCCCTGCCCAGAGTAATTTACAGTGTGGGTTCCTGATCCAGCAAAGAGTTGTCAATGTGTTACTTTTGGTATTTCTACACCGCAAAAAGAAACTCAGTCAGTGGTCCCCAATGTGTTGCCTGCGGGCGCCATGGTGCCCGCGGAGCAATCTGGGCTGGCCCCGGGCGTGCGGCAGGTGCCAGCCCCGGGCACATGGGCGGTCCCTGCCCAGGGTTACCGCAAATGCTGACGCTGCTCAGGGTCACGGCACATGCCGGCCCCGCCCCCAGGCCCGTGGCCCGTGAGTGGCCCCGTACGCGCGGTGCGTGAGCGGCCCCGCCCCCAGGCACCCAGCAGCCCCAAAATGTTGGGGACCACTGCACTAAGTCATAGAGCCCGGTTAGTTGGGATTGTAATTTTAAAATATCAGTGGAGACATTCTGACCCAGGATGGAGCCTGAGTTCTGGGATCTTCACCAGGTTTCAAAGTCTGAACTCCAGCCAAGTCATTTGATCCAGGCTTTAAGACTCAGTGCTGCAAGGTTGGTTTTTTTTTTTTTTTTAATGTAGATATCTTTATGCCCTAGGAATAGTTCCATTGAAGCAAATGGGATTGCTCACAGTTTATAAAGTTACTCCCTCTTGTGAGTCTTTTGCAGGACTGAGAACAAAGATAGATCTGACATGATGCAGGAAAAGGTGCAATCAGACAGATGGGATGACAATATACCATAGTGCATATTATGAGAGTCTAAACTCAGATAAGCACTTTAGGAGAAACATAAATAGAGAAAAACAGGAAGATAATTCACACTACTTAAATTTTCAGTAAAAATGTTATATCATGGCTAAAGAAAGTGACATTTTTCACTGGAGAAGAGTGTCTCTTGTCAGATGGCACCTTTATCAAAATTATCAAGTCTTACTAGAGAGGAAGTTGGAAATGAGGACAAAAACATGAGTCTTACTTTTTTGTTCCTTTTAGAAAAGGAAGAAGAATTTGACTGGGGGAAGTACTTGATGGAAGGTGAAGAAATTGATTTTGGCCCTGACATGCCAGTAAGTTATATCTTAAAAGTGACTGACTATGCTCTTTCAGACTACATATAATATTTAGGATTATAGATATTCAATAAAGGAAATAATGTATTACTTTTTGATTTAGGAAGCTATAACTATGGCAGGGCACATTCTTTCTAGAGCCGTGAAGTGTCAGGAAGTCAATTTAGAGTAAAACTCCATTGGTCCGGCATCCAATGCTCCGGCACTCCGGCACCATCGGGAACCTGGAAGTGCTCCGGATAGCCGGACAATTGGAGCTTCTCTGCGTCCAGCTTCCCCAGTTCAGCCACTGCTGAAACTGAACCAGCAGCTGAATTGGGGAAGCTGGGGGCAGAGCAGCTGGGATGCTGCCAGGTTGGTCCCATAGCACTGCCCCTCGGTGCTGCAGGACCAACCCGGCAGAACCCCTGCTACTCTGTCCCAGGTGTCCCCAAGAGCAGTGGGGGTGCTGCCGGTTTGGTCGCGCAGCGCCGAGGGGCAGCGCTACTGGACCAACCCGACAGCACCCCAGCTGCTCTGCCCTAGGCGTCCCCGATTCAGCTGCTGCTGAAACTGACCAGCAGTGGCTGAATCGGGGACACCTGGGGCAGAGCCGGACTATCAGAAGGGGGGGTTATGAGGGGTCTGGGGTGGCAACCCCTCACCCCTCCCCAGACCTCTCATAGCCCCCCCCTTCCAATAGTCCGGCATATTTGATCATCTGGCACCCTCTGGGTCCTAAAGGTGCCAGATTATCTGAAGTTTACTGTACATGTTTTCCATCACAGGAGGGGGAGATTGTATCACAGTGGTCAAAGGGTTTTTTAAAAATTTAAATACTGGTTTATTTTAAAACAATGAACCTTAGTCAGATTTTAATTTAATTTTAAAATCTATAATAAGGCCTAAATTTAGTCTAATCTATTAAAATATACGAAGGAAAAAAATATTAAACAGTACATGCTTGCTGCTGATGTGTTTATATAAAAAAAAAAAACAAGTCAAACCACTAAACTGGTGAATGTCACTCCCTAAGCACCTGGAACCAGAGTTTGTTGAAGTGCTTAAATCAGTTTTTGATTGGATTAGCATCTTCTGTAGGTCCACTCCTCGGCGCTACTGGACCAACCCGGCAGCACCCCAGCTGCTCTGCCCCAGGTGTCCCCAAGTCAGCCGCTGCTGAAACTGACCAGCGGGC